TTCAGTTTTTTGGATGCTATTGTGAAAGGAATTGTTTGCCCTATTTCTCTCTCAGTGAGTCTGTTGTTTGTGTAGAGGAAAGCTATTGAATTTTGTGTGTTGACCTTGTATCCAGCTACTTTACTGAAATTGGTTATTAAGTCTAGAGACTTTTGGTAAAGTACTTGGGGTCTTCTATGTAGAGTATCTTGTTGTCTGCATATAATGACAGTTTAATTTCTTCATTTCCTATCTTTATTTCTTTCTCTTGTCTAATTGCTTTGGCTAATGTTTCCAGAACTATATTGGACAAGTGTGGTGATAGTGGACATCCTTGTTTTGTTCCTGATTTTAGCATGCAAAGTCTTATATGCTTCACTTATCTTTATGTCAAATTCTGTCCCCCTGCTTCGGAATTTTTCTGCCATTACTTCTGTGAATAGTTTTTTATGTTATTTGCACTCTCTCCTGTTTCTTCTTTGACTCCAGTCAGTCTTCTGTTATTCGCTTTGCATCATGTAGCAGCAGTTGCTGGATTGATTTCTCTTGCTCCCGTACTATTTTTAAGAAATTTTTCTTTTCCTGGTCATTAATTGCAAGACTGTCTTCTATATCTGATATTCTGACCTTACATTGGCTCATTCTTCTGCATAAACTTTCAGTAGCATTTTTAATCTCCTGGAAATTTGTTTTATGGATTTCATTTGTTTCCTTGCTGAGATTTATCATGTTCCTTGGCTCCTTTTTTTTTTTTTTAATCTGCCTGCTCTAGAGTTATTGATCATTTCTTGCATTATTGACACAATCTGTTGTTATCTGAAAAATTATTACTGATTTCATTTTTTCCAGATCCTCTTTTGTTGCCAATTCAGGGCTTCCAGGTGGTTGAGTATCAGCTTGTTCTATGTCCTTGACTCTTGGGGGTTGCCTTAGGTGATCCTCAAGTTTGGTTTTGAGTGTTGTTTTCGTGTACTCTCATTTCAACAGATGGAGACTGCTGCCTCTTTGTTGAGGTGACTTTTTGCTCACCCAGTGGGCTTCATTTCTCAGCAAGCCTCAAGAGAGGCCTTCTCTCTGCTGCTCACCCATTTGCCAATTCTTGGGTTCAGAATGGTGGCCTTCTGGATCCCTGTGCTATGTTGTTGTCCAGGCAGCATTCTGGCTCGGGCCTGTTCACACTTAGGATGGTATCTGGGCTTGCCTCCAGCTGAAGCCTGCCCACCTGTGTAGCTGTTGTGCGGGAGGGCCTTTGGCTGGGAGCTGTGCACCCAAATCACTCGTGCTGATGTGGCTTCTGGCTGGGGTCTGGGTGCACTTACCGATGATATCTGAGTAGCCCTCTGGTTGTTTCCTGTGTATCTTTGCAGTTCTTTTCCAGGCGGGCCTTTGGGTGGGGCCTGGGCCCAAGGCGCTGATGTCTGGGCAGGGCCCTGGCTGGGACCTGAGCACCTGCTCCCTTTTTCTTTCTAGGGCTCCCATAATGCATATTTTTGTCTAATTGAGGATCTCTCATCTGTTCATTTTTTAATTTTATTTTCAGATTTGCTATTTTCAGTGGTCTCATTCAAATTTGCACTTTCTTTCTTTTGTCTTTTGGCTGCTCAGATCTTCTGTTGAACATCTCTAGTGAAATTTTCATTTTGGTTGTTATACTTTCTAACTCCAGACTTTCTATTTGGCTTAATTTATGTCTTCTTATGTCATTTCTTGATGTTCATATTCTTTGTTGATGGTTTCCTTTAGCTCTTTGAACATATTTAAGATTGCATATTTAATGTATTTGTTTTGTAATTACAATATCTGGGCTTCTTATTTCTGTGTATACTATGTAAATATATAAAATTTGATGTTTTACATCATATTATGGGTAATTATCAAAGTTAGATTTGTTCCCTCCTCCCATCACTAGGATTTGCTGTTGTTGACTTGATTGAGTGATTGATTTTTCAGTAGTAGGGATTGAACCCAGGGTCTTCACATGCCCCAGCCCTCCTTTTTTATTTGAGAAATCTAACTCCCAGTGTTTTCAGCAGTATGCTTAAGCATGAACTTCTCTTTGCTCTCCTAAAAGTAATATGAGGCAGACATTATTTAGAGGAAAGTGCCTGGCAGCAAGCAGAGCTACCAGTCCTTTCAGCCTTCCTCTATCCTTGATCAGAACCGAGTCTCAGCTGTACCACCTAGGATATATGGACAGCATGTCCCCTTCTCCTTCAGTGCCCCCCTCCCCCACATCGTTGCTGCATGAACTTCACCGGAGGCTGCTTACCTCTTCTGGAGTGGAACTTATAGTTTGGGAGCAAAATCATAGAGGGACAGTAGAGCTCCAGTATTCTTGGATAGTACTTTCTCAGTCAGAGCTTCTCTGAATGGGAGGAAAGCAGACTCCAGCCCCCTTGTTAGTGCCTGTCTGGAATAGAACTTTTCTAACATGTAGCTGTGGGGAATGAAAGAGAAAGGCTGGCTGCCTGACCCTACTGAGTTAAAACTGGACCCAGATCTTTGATGATACGGTATGGGGCTGGAAGTAGGAGAGAATCATAGTTCTGATGCTAAAGACTCATTCTTACTGAATTTTAGTAGATTTTCTTAAATAAATATTTTTGTTTGCAGTGTCCCCTTAGGCTCATTTCCAGAAACTAAAAATTTCATCGTATGTTTCATGGTTAATTCTCTGGGAAAAGTGATTGATGAGCTTGTCACACAGCCAGTCTAGAATTCCTACCTCATGCTTGGTTTTTAATTACTTATTTTCACTTTTAGGAGAAGTAATTTTAAAATTATATTATGACTTTTCAGTTTTGTCTTGATTAATGATTTTAGGAATTTCCTATTATTTTCAGATTTTATCAGTAAGTATACTACTAACTTATAGCTTTTTTAAAAAATAGAAATCAACATGTAAATATGATTCTTTGTGAAATAATTTGTCGATTCAGAGCAGTCATTGTATATTTTCTTTTATGTGAATGGACGGGGTTGTAGGAAATCAAAGTGAAATTGTCTTTACTAATTTTTATTATTTTCAGTTTGAAAAAAATTTTTAAATTGTATTGATTTGTAATTTTCTTTCCTATTTTTTTTTTCATACAGATTTGAAACCAAAATTGATTCATTTCATATTACTGGCTTACCGGATAATTCAAAAAAGCCCTACCTCCTGACTTCACTGGATGATATGTCACTCTTCCAAATTATATTTGAAATAAATCCACTAGATGAAACAGTTGCTCAAAGGTGTATCATTGAAGCTGAACCTTTAGAAATAATATATGATGCAGTAAGCATTTTTTGTATTACCAAGTTTTAATATAGTTCATTTTGAGTTTGTGCTTCATGTTAATGATGCTTATTTTAACAGAGGACAGTGAATAGTATAGTGGATTTCTTCAGATCTCCTAAAGAGGTACATCTAGCACAGCTCACTTCAGCAACTTTGACAAAACTTGAAGAATTTCGAGATAAGACAGCAACAGGTAAATTAATGTTGGCATATTAAATCTACACCCTATATTACATGTTGCTGTACATAAAAATGATTTTCGTAAAAGTTTACTTTATTTCTAGACTAATACAATTTTACATAAAATAATGTACTTTGTTGTTTAAAGGCAGATGTAACAATAATCACTTTTTATACACAAGAAGTTCTTAATAACCACTGCGGAATTTTGTATAGGGATTTTAGACATCTCTTTGTGACCATAACAGGCTTGTCCTTTCTTTATAAGAAATTTCAGAGTTTGATATATTGGCCTCAGAATATAAAAGTTGTATCCTTTTAGATTCTCTAGGAGAATAAAAAGGTTGGGTGTTATTTCTTCCTTAAATAGTTGGCAGAGCTTAATAATAAAACCATTTGGGCCTGTAGATTTCTGTTTGAGAACGTTTAAAATGTACATATTCAGTTTTTAAAATAGATTCTTCACATAGAGATGATTTTAATGTTTTGTAGTTTGTTGGGACTTGCTGTTATTCCATATATGGTATTTTTAAAAAGTGTTCCACATATACTGAAAAACCTGTTTAAAAAATATCTATACATATTTCTTAGGATGCATTTGTTAATCATATATATTAATTCAAATCTGTGTCTGTTTCTTTCTTCCTTTTGTCACCTTGTTCTAACAATTATTTAGAGAAATAAGTGAAAAATACCTCAGAATGCATGCATATTTTCATATTTCATGTAGAACTGTGAACCATATCTTTTATCTCTATGAAGTTGGCTGTGTATATTTTTAGTAATAACATACCATATTTTTTCTTTTTGTAGAGATTTTTTTTGTGTGAAATTTCTCCCCTCAGTTTTAAAGTATATTTTAATTGAACATAGAATTAAAGGTTGACAGATGCTTTCTTTTTAAAACACTAAAGAGACCAGTCTGCTGTGTCTTGGTTTCCTCGCTGTTCAGTGTCAAGGTATCAGTGTATTTGCTGCTTTCTTATAGATTGTCTTGTATGTTTTACATTTAAAATCTTATATTTTGTTTTCTGTAGTTCCAGTATGTTATATCCCAGCTTTGGGAATGAATATGAATATATATATATATATATATATATATATATATATATATATATATATATATATATATATATACACACACACACATATATATATATTTATATTTTTGTTGTTGTTCTTGTTGTTGTTGTTGAGATTCATTGAGTTTCATAAATCTGAGTATCTTGAGTACTGATATCTTTAATGAATTCTATAGAAAATGTTTGGAAAATTCTTAGGCACTAGCTCTTTAAATATTTGTATTTTTCTCTTTTTCTGAAGTTCTGAAAAAATTTATTTTAGCCTTTCTTCATGTGTCTTCTATTCCCCTAAACTTCTGTATCCTTCTTGGTTGCTTCTCTGTGTGTATTCTTTTCCTATGTTATATACTGTGTAATTTCTTGTAATTTATCTTGTAGTTTATTAAATCTTTTCTTTAACCATGTCTAATATGCTATTTAATCTTTATATTAGGTTTAATTTCAGTGATTATATTTTTCATTTTGGAAATTTTGCTTTGTTATATGTAAAATTTGGTTGTCATTCTTTTTTAGTTTTATTTCCTATGGATATTTAAACTTCTGTTTCTTCAAACATCATAAATAATAGTATTTTATATTGTTTCATCAGACAATTCTTTCTTCAGATAGTTTCATGAAGACTTTTTGTGATTTTTATTTTGTCTGTCTTTTATTTCTGATAGCTCTTATTTGTACTAAATTTACACACCCACCCGGAATGGGGATTGAACCTAGGGTCTGAGGTACATCTCCAGTTCTTTATTTTTTATCTTGAGATAGGGCCTCACTAAGTTGCCTAGGCTGTGGCTGAGTTTGGAATCCTCCTGTTTCAGTCTCCCAGAGTGCTAGGACTTCAGGTATGTACCACTGAGCCTGATGGTGTCTTTTCATACTTGATAATTTTAAATTATGTGTTGTTTGTTTTTGGTAGAAGACTTTCTTCTGCAAGGTATCCTGGGCATGTTGGTGTCAGCCTTTAAGTAGATCCATTGCTTGAGATATTCTGGACTGTGAAGGAATTCTTGGGCCACATATTTACATAAAGACTATATTGTGGTTATAATTCATAGGGTTATTACACCTTTCTCCTAATTTTCCTCAGATCCTTTCATTGCATTTCCTGTGGGTATGTTGTAAGGAGAAGAAGGCTTAACTTGGAACTCCTTACTTTCAGTAGGTATCCTTTGTGATCTCAGATTTGTGAGGAAAGCGCCTCTCTTAGATTCCTTATCTTTGTCTTATGTCCTCTGTTCTGAGAAACTAAAAAGGAATTCTCTAGTTTACCTGGTATAGAAAATGGTCTCAGGATAAAAATTTTCTAGTCTCATTTTGAATCTATTAGCTCACAACTTTAACTTATTTTTTGGCTTCTTATACTATCTTGCCAGTTCACAGTGTTTTCAAGTAGATTTTTTTTTTTTTTATTGTCTTTTGTTCTATTTCCAGCAGTTTTTGTTGCTTTTACTCCAGAGTTGTTTGGCTGTCTGTTCATCCATATTACTAGGATTTAAAAGTCTAGTTAAATGTTTTTGTGTAAGTTGAAGACCTAATTAATCTCTATTAAAATTCATCTTACTAGATTGGTCATTTTTCCATCTTTTGTGGTATATTTGTGTCTTGACTTTGAGGCATTGGATAGATGTCTTTCATTTCTGATAATGCCATTCAGTATCAACTGACAGTGAATTCATTTAACTGCTTAGAGGTTCTTAATAACTTTCTTGTGTCATGAGCCACCCTTGTCTGTTTGAAGCCCAGGGATTCTTTCTTAAAGAATAGTTTAAGTATAACAAATACAATGTATAGGGTCCTGAGAAAAATAAATTATATATACAGTGGTTTCGTATTCAGCTGAAGAAAATAGTAAGGAAGAGCATTTGAGGAAGTGTTCAATTTTGAAGAGTCTAACTTGGGAAAGAATTTAGTGAATTTGGAAGTTGCCGAAAGCTGAACTTGTTCTAATATAGTAGGGGGGAGTAAAATGTTAGAGATCAACAAATATTTAAATTTATATTGGAAATATATTGCTAATGATTATTTTTAAATTGGTAGTAGATTTTAAAGTAATACTAATTTTACATTATTCTAAGATTTGTTCATTTGCTTGGCAGTTCCTTATTTCTTGAGTAATTTGTGAAGAGTATTTGTTACAAAGATTTAAATTTTCTACAGGTCTTCTGTATATTATTGAAACACAGAAAGTTCTTGATCTCAGAATTAATTTGAAGGCTTCATATATTATTGTTCCACAAGATGGAGTTTTCAGCCCTACATCAAATCTACTTCTTTTGGATCTTGGCCATCTAAAGGTATATACTAACAATATTTGATTTATGATGTGGTATTTAGGATGTTTCTTTTAAAAAGTACTTTGGTTTCTAGACAGTTTGATTTGGCTTACTGACTTAGATTTATGGTAGATACTTACATTTGAGAAATCTTCCTTTCTGGTGAGTAAAGTGAAGTTTCATTTAATTAGGCTACTTTTTTTCCCACTAAATTTCTAAAACTTAAATGACCCACATCTGGAGTAAACAAGAATTATTTTTGTAGAAATTGAGGGTTGTGTTTATTTCTTTTTCGGTTTAAATCTTTTACTTGATTAATTGAAGTATCTAAAATGAAATTCTGAAAATTAAAATCCTTCTGAGATTTTTGTATATATTTCTTGACATTTTAACATTTTTATTATTTTAAATTGATGGATTGTTATGGATTGTTTTGGAGTTAACCAAGTCATTTCAGATCTTTCAATTATGAACTTTCTTTTGCTTCCCAAATTTTAAGGGAGAATAACTTATATTTGTAGATCTGTATCCTTCAGTAAAATAACCCATTAGCTACATGTGATTAATTAAAATTAAGTGAAAATAAAACTTCAGTTCCTTAGCTAATGTAACTAAGAGTTCAGTAGTCAGAAGTGGTAGTGTGTACTCTATTGAACAGCACAGATTCAGAATATAGCCTTTATCATAAAAGTTCTGTTGGACAGGACTGCTCTAAATTTTTAAATGTAGAAGAATACTTTGAACAATTTAAAGGCCCAAGGGAGATGAGTAATAGTAGAAGGATTTTTCTGACCACCTAATAAATATTATTTGCCTTTTCTTAATATTGTTTCTCTTTCTCTCTCTCTCTCTCTCTCTCTCTCTCTCTCTCTCTCTCTCTCTCGTTACTCTATGCTTGATACTTACATAGAGCAATTGGCTTTATATTTATAATAAAATTTATATAACTATTCATATTTGAAATTGGTTATTGAATTGTTTCAGCGCAGTATGGTATAGTAGGAGGAACATAAGGTCAAGGTATGTATGAATAAATTTTTGTGATATTCAGTGATTTGCTTAACAAGTTATCTAAAATTCATTACCTTTAAGACAAGTAATCATTTCTGAGTGTCTGCTTCACATGAGGTATATAAAATGTTTCATATGTACGTATATGAATAAGATCTTTAGGTTCTGCTATGAAGTGATTATGCCAAAAAGGGGAGATACAAACAACATGTTGGGAATCACATAAATGGCAGAGTTGGACTAAAATTCAGCTATCATAATATTAAATCCTTGGCTGTTTTACTTATTATCAAGCTATCCAAGTATCTGTCATTGTACTGTAGGAATATTTTTAAGGTAAATTTGTCTCTTGATCTTATTCTTAATGGGAAGTCTTGACCAGATTTTAACTCTTCATTAAGCTGTATTATTTTCCATGACTATCTTGGTTCCTATCTTTGAATGTAAAGAAATGGAAATTATAATTTAATATGTAAAGTTTTCCTTTATATGTGTACTTCTTACTATAGCGCTCGTGGTTAATAACTTTTTTTAATAGCCTTATACGATACGTCTGCTTGTGATTTTATTCTCTCCAATTAAAATTTTATATTATAGGTCTGAAAGACTAAAACCTTTATACAATACTTACATTTTGAAGTATTTTACATAATCTAAACTATTAAAATTAACTTCTAGGTGACAAGTAAAAGTCGTTCAGAATTACCAGATGTGAAACAAGGTGGAGCCAACCTTGAAGAGATAAGGCGTAGAGCTTATGATTCCTTTGATGTCCAGCTTACAAGCGTACAGCTGCTTTATAGTAGAACGGGTATGTATGAAAGGCACTACTGATTTTGCTGAAGTGATTGATTAGGTTTTTAGACATTTTCTCTGAAGCCCTTCTTCATACATACATTTGAGCTTTTAGTATTTTTAAATTAGATGTGATAGTAAATATTGCTTAATGATTCTCAACCAGGAGTGAGTTTGACCCCCCAAGAGACACTTGGCAATGTCTGGAGACATACTTGGTTGTACAGGTAGTGGTCAGGGGCATCACTAACAAAACATATAGTGGGTGGAAGTCAAGGATGCTATTGACCATCCTACAATGTAGTTTTATAGGTTAGCACCCCACAGAAAGTGTCAATAGAGATAAAGTTAAGAAATCCTGATCTATACCAGTATTTACTAACCTTGAACTAAAGATTGGTACATATCGTAAATGATATTTGTATTTCATGATTAGATAACTAGAAGCAGCTTCTCAATGCCAGAGGGAACCAGACTAGGGACTCTAACAGACCATGGCAGGGGTAGCCACACACAAACTAAGGACAGTCACTGTTTTAGAAATATCTTTATCCATCCCAATCTCTGTGGTGTACCAGTCAAGCATCTCTGATCCAGTTCTAGATTTTTAGGTGAAGCAGAGCCACAGATTCAACTGACAAGAGCATTAAATAGGAGACTTCATGTTCATTCAGCCCTGTTTCCATTCTGCCATATTGCCCTGAATCCCTGTAGTATTGGTGAACATTTACATCATTCAACAGTGAGCTAACTGATAAAAGGAGGAGCATTGAGAAGCCAAAGTAATCATTATTAAAATTTTTAGTTTATATAGGAACAGATCATTTTTCTTCTAATTATATTTGCTTAAGTCCATAAATTCTTTTTTAGGGAATAATTAAGGGATTTTAGTATGTTTGACTGATACATTTGGTCACAAGTCTGTGGGCTGTACTTCTTTGTTAAATAGTAAAAAATATTTTAGTGTTACTGTCTGAAGATTATTTGATAAACATTACTGTTCTTAAATAATTGAGTCTTTTTGAGCAGGTATTTTTACATTGTGGATACTTTATCTTATCGTAAAATTTTTTGATAAATACCAAAACACATCCATCTAGATAAATGTTTTTATCTGTAAAATGGGAAGTGAAGTAAATATTTCATTTATCTGAATACTAGTAGAATTTGAAAAAATTATAATAAAGCCCATTTTACCACCTGTAACTGGGAATCTAATGTTTCCTTGGTTTTCTGAGACTGGAACTTTGACTGACTTGAGAGTCATTTGATATTTCAAATGAGATAGTGTATATGAAAATGCATTGTACTATATAGATACCATTAATCTTGGGTGAGTGTGTATTTACAGTTTTTTGTTTTTACCTGATACTGGGGATTGAACCCTGGGCCTTGATTATGCTAGGGAAATGCTCCAATCTTGTTACAGATGTTTAATGTTACTTTTTTGTGATTATAAATATGCATATTTTAGAAAATCTGCATAATCAAAAAATAAAAAGGATTATCCTTTATCTTACTGCTTAGACATGAACAATATTGCTCTTTTGTTATGTATTCTTTTAGTGTTATATTCAGTTTATGTACTGATGGGTGTACAGAGTATGCTTGTGTGATGTTTGTGTGTGGAGGTATTAGTGAATTGTCTTTTTAACATGATTTATATAGTTCCTCTCCAGATATTTTCTTTCCTTACCAGTAATATTTTGGGCACTTGAATCTATGAATTTTTTTTTGGTTATATTATATTCTAAGGCTGTGCTCTAAGTTATTTATCAATCAATTTCCTTACTGACCACATAGGCTTATAACACTGCAGTAAGTGTTGCCAGATTATCATAATTTGTAGGCATGCATGTGAATTTTAGGTTTGTCACTAGTATGTTGACAGTAGGAAAGTTCTAAATATTGAGAACCTCAGTTTTCTAAAATGGAATGATTATTAATTGTGAGAAAGTTTAAACATTACATAAAACAGTGCTAGTTATAAATCTTGAATAAGTGGTACCTACCATGCACAAGTTACTATTAAAGAAGCTCAATTTTTTTTCTGCCTTTTCCATTATTGTCTTACACTCATGCTGTTTTTTGTTTTTTAGGGTAAGCTATCTGGTTGTAGTAGTGATTGCCAGTGGATGCACAGATTTGGTTAAAACTACTGCTTTTTACAAAATAAGCCCTTTTTGATGTTTGGTTTTTTTGTTTTTTGGATTTTTTGGGTTTTTTTTTTTTAGATAGGGTCTGGCTGTGTAGTTAGGGCTGGCCTTGAACTCACTATGTATCCCAGGCTGGCCTTGAACTCAAAGCGATCCTCTTGCCTCAGCTTCTCAAGTGCTGGGATTACAGGCATGTGCCACTGTGCCCGACTTATAAGCCTTTTTTATAATAGAACATAGAGAATCTTGTGAAGCAGGTGAAGAGAAATGATGAAAGGAAAAATATTTTACTTGCTCACTGTGTGTATTTTAGATAATTAAGATTGTCTAGATGTGAGATGATTTCCCCATATCATTTGGTATGTGAATATGAAATATTAATAATTTTATGTTTTGTATGTTACTCAAGTACTGTTTTCTGTAATTAGGTGAGAATTGGAAAGAGGCACGAAAACTTAATGTATCTACACAGCATATTTTGGTACCCATGCATGTCAATGTGGAACTCTCTAAGGCAATGGTTTTCATGGATATTAAGATGCCCAAGTATGTATTATCTGTTTCATGTAATTCTGCATTTTCTCAGTAACTTTATAGCTAAGGAAATAACCATATTTCACTGATTTTTTTTGTGGTAAAATATACATAACAAAGTATGATTTCCTATTTAAGCTCTGGTGTATAATTTTTTGACATTAAGTACGTTCACATTATTGTCACCACTGTCACATTATGTAATGTTCACATTACTGTCACCACTGTCCACCTCTAGAACTTTATCACCCTCCTAACTGAAACTGAGTACTCATTAAATAATGTTCTATTGTACTCTGCACCTAACCCCTGACAACATCCATTCTGTTTTGTATTTATGAATTTAAGACAATTTTAGGTACCTGTGTGCAAGTGGAATTATATAGTATTGTCCCTTTTTGTCTAGATTGCTTCACAGCACAAAATCCTTCAATCTTCAGTTGTGTTGTTCTAGTCTTTTTTTTTTTTTAATTCAAAACTCTCTAGTTCTGCCCATTAGTGAAAGTGGGTTACTGCAGTCTCCTATTATTAGAGAGCTATCTGTATTTCCCCCTAATTCTGTCTGTGTTTGATTCATACATTTTTGAGCTCTGCTACTTGATGCATATGTTTATAATTTAGTTGCATCTTACTGTTGACCTTCATGTCATTTCATTATATAATGATGTTCTTTGTCCTTTTTAGGGTTTTTTTGTTTTGTTTTTTCTTTTTGGTACCAGGGATTGCACCCGAGACCTTGCGCTTGTGAGGCAGGCGGTAGAACCACTGAGCTAAATCCCCGGCCCCCTTTGTCTTTTTTAAAAAATTTTTGACTTGCAATTTATTTTGATTGAGAGTATAACTGTCTGTGGTTGTATTTGATTATTTATATGCAATATCTTTTTGCATTCTTTTACTTTTGATCTGTTTTCTTTTAAAGTGACTCTCGTAGATAGCATGTAGTTGGATCCTTTTGTCTTATCTGTCTTTTCAATTTATGTCTTTTGATTGGAAAGTTTCAGTATTTACATTTTAAAGTAAATTCTTATAGGAAAGGACTTATTTTTGTCAGTTTATTTGCTTTTTGTTTGTTTTGTTTTTTGAGTCTTGCTATGTAGATCAGGTTGACCTTGAACTCATTCTGTATCCCAGGCTAGCATCGAACTTGCAGCAATCCTCCTGCTTCAGTTTATTCGCTTTCTGTAAGATAATTTTGTCTCTCCGTTTTCTTAGTCTTCCTTTGTGTTAGTTTATTTTGTCATGTTTTGAGTTCTTTCTCATTTCCATATTGTATATTTTATAGTTTTTGTTGGTTACTGTGGAAGTACTGCATTTCCTAAAATTACTACAATCTGCTTAAAATTGACCCCAGCTTACTCTAAATTGCATGGAAAAAGTCTACTTGTTTCCCACTCTACCCCCTTTAGTTATTAATTTGTGGTTTAAATCTTTACATATTTTGTACCCATTATCATAGATTTATAGTTTTTTTTATGCATTTGTTTTACTGTTTTAAATCCTCATGAAATGATTTATAGTCATTTGAACAGACATTGATGAAATGATAAACAGTACAGATACTTGAGAAAAGTATAAAGGCATAAGCAGAGTTTGAAAGTGAGACAAAATAGAGAAAGGAGATTGAGCTTGAGGAGGTGAACTGGGCACACTCTGGTGAAGAGGTTCAAACCAGTCCATTCATAAAAGAATGAGGTCAGTCTTTATGAATCTGCTGGGCAGGGTGGAGTGTGATTAGTCATTATCTGGGATCTGATTTTATAGCTCCAGAGAAATCTTTATGGCCCAAGGGGCAGTTCAGTTCTCATGAGATGCTGGTGGTGGGAGGATAATGTTGGTTTCTGTTTTAGGATAATTGCTCCCACTTGAGACGGTGACCTCATCGTGGGGTAGACTATGAGGTGCTTTTTCTGGAATCCGAGGGGACTGCAGGTGTAGGATAATGACTAGAGATTTCTTGGGTATCACTCTAGGGGGTCTGGAACTGGACCTTGTAAAAGCTGGCAATTATATATCCTTGCAAATCCAGAAAATTGTTTTAGTTACTCTTGTCCTCAGTCTTAAAGTGGGAATGGCATATGCTAGGTAAGTTTAGGGCTAACTAACCTTGTAATGCAGACACTTGAGTGATTAACAAACATAAGTGCAGAGCTGAGCAGGGATCTGACTGAAAGGTTTAAAGTAATAAAGGATACAAAATGAAGGCCAAGCTTTATTCTGTTTTTAGTCACCTACTGGCCATCTGAGGGTTCAGATGTAGAAGGTTTTTTGTTTTTTTTGTGTTTTAAACAAAAGCTGGGGTCGGGGATTTAGCTCAGTGGTTCCGCTGGCTGCCTCGCAAGCGCAAGGACCCGAGTTCAATCCCCAGTACCAAAAACAAAACAAAACAAACAAAAATTGTTTTAAATCTTTGAGACCCTCCAAAGGAAATAAATCATGCTTTCAACGAGGTTAAGGGCCAGTGAATTTGTCTTCTGTCCCTGTGATGATGTCTTGACTGTGTCACTTCCCTTGAAGTTTGAGCTAAATATAAGCAAGGAAACTACCAAGGCAATTAAAAGAGTAATAAAATACTGAGGTCTAGTAGTTGAGTCATGGTTTTGGAATCTGATCTCTTGGACAAGTTATTTGACCTTGCTGTCTCTTAGTTTCCTCTTATGTATATATGAGAACTCATAAGCAATAGGGAACAGCTAGGTTGTGTACCTCATAGGCTATGAGGACTACTTGCAATAATGAATACAAAGTATTTTCATTGTCCTTCATGTAGTAAACACTGGTAAATAGTAATGTCACCTGTACTTGGAAAATAGTCTGTAGGTAAGATAAAAATTTTTGAGTAATGAATTTTAGCATTTAAAATCGTATTTGGTTTTAGATTTGTATGATTTGAGGTATAGTCTTTTTAGTTAGGACACTTAAGTCATGGTGAAAGTTGCTCTGTAATGATACACATATTTTAAAAACAGATTCAAGATTTCTGGAAAGTTACCTCTTGTTTCCATACGTGTCTCAGATAAAAAACTGCAAGGGATTATGGAATTGGTTGAAAGCATTCCAAAACCTAAACCTGTTGCTGATGTATCTGCACCTGTCAAATCATTTCAGGTATTGTTATTTTCGGAATTGATAAAATACTGAATTAAAAAAAAACTTCACAAATAATATCTGAAACAATCATATGAACCTCAAATAAAATTATTTACAATCATTTTAACAGAATCTATAAAAGAGAAATTGATGGAAATTCTGTATAAAAGAAATAGTACAAATATTTAAGAAGTATAAAATAAACTCTATCTGTTCTTTCTTCTGTAACCTCCAGTCTCTCTTTAATGTTAACCACACTCCTCTCATTTTTCAGAAAAATTTTATGACATATGCTGTTAAACACACGTGTGTGTATTCTTTATACTTACCATTCTGAATCTATTATTTTCACCATTACTGTCATATATGCTATATATACCTCAGAGATACAGTGGTACCTTGGTTCACGAATGCTTTAGTTTACAAGCAGTTTGGTTCACAAACAGAAGCATCTGGCAAAATTTTGTGTTTAAAAAATCTGTGTAAGGTGACAAACATGACTGCATCTTTCCCACATGAATATGAACATGGCCATCTTTTCCAGAATGATGAAATGGATTAAGTTTGTGAACTGAGGTACCACTGTGTTTTCATGTTAACACATACATACAGGTCTACCTAACTCTTTTTCATGATTATATAATATTGTATTGTGTGGTTATGTCATCTTTAACAATATGTTCCCTTTTGATGGACATTCATAATATTATAGTTGTTTATAATTATGAAAAATGACATATTGAACTTACACATATATTTGGTTATAATTTTATCCATAGGAGAAATTGTTAGAAGTGGAATTGTTGAGTAAAGAAGGGTATAGTTTTAAATTTTGATGACATTTTATCAAATTTCCCTTTTAAACTGAGTATTACTGTTACAGACTATTAACAGTAAATGACTGTCTTTTTCCTTGTTCTCATTAGTTTGAGTATTAGCAATTGCTAATGTTTATTCTGAGAAAATGTCTTCTGGTTTTGATTTGCATTTCTTTATGAGTAAGATAAAACATTTGCCTCAAATATAACCACATTTAATTGAGTTCTTACTGTAGGTAAAGCTATCTTACAATATAAAGGAACAAATAAAGCATGAAAAATTAAATTGGACTTAATGAAAATTAAATTTCAAGTAGCATAAAAATATTTTCAACATTATTACTTATCAAGAAAATGAATCTATTGAAATACCACTAAACAATGTCTATAACAACTAAAAATAAAAAGAATGAAACACCATGTCAGAGTACTGACATGGTAAGAATTTAATGCTGCCTGGAAAATGAAAGAAAAGAGGAAAGACATGCACAAAAACCCTATGATTCACTACTACTGTAACTCAAAAAATGGTTAACCTCCTTTCAGAAATAGTTTGATAGTTTTGTTGAACAAAGTTATTTATGTACTGACCACAAGATTTAGGAATTCTAGAGGCAAATTAAACTTTATTAGAGAATCATTTAAAGGTGCTTAAATACAAACAGCTAAATAAAAGCAAAATCATGATCAGTGGTAAGGCATCTAATCAAGGAGAAACATGTAAGGTTCTTCTAGGCAGGGTATGGTGATGTTTTCTTTCTTGGTCTGGGTGGAAGTTTCAGTAGAATTTTTCTTTAAACTACATCGTCTGGCTTTATATGTTTCTCAAAACAATAAAAAAGTAAATTTATTGAAATATCTTGGTAAATTTAAAAATGAAACTGAGTTTTCTTACTCTTGAGCCTTAAGTATTGTGACTTGTGATTTCTCATGGATGTCTGCAGGTACTTTCCTTATTTAGTAAAATGTTAAGTTAAAATATGTCTAAGATTTCCTATTTTTAGCTTATCATGGAAATTATTACAACAGTTTTACAATTCATATTTAGCTTTGAAATTATAAACGTTTCTTTAAATCTGCATATTATAATTTACTCTTCTTAGTCCTAATTTCTTCTAAAAAATTCGGAGTGAGTGGCTTTTTGTCAAAATTGTCTCAACAACTTTGCCTAGAAGTCTTTTTAAAATTGACAGTGGATTACTTTTCTTTCAGATTCAAACATCTACTTCTTTGGGAACATCACAGATTTCACAGAAAATAATTCCCCTTTTGGAATTTCCATGTGTTACCGAAGATGGTAAAATGCACATACTTAAGGAAATTTTTCTTACTATATGTATATAATTAAAATAACCTCCATTTTGAGGCATATTTTCTTCCGATGAGCATGTAGAGGAGAAGAAATATCTTTTCCTTTTAACCTCTGGATTCTCTGTTAACAAAAGACAGATTAACAAGCAATCAAGTTTATTAACATTTATATCTAGTACTTATAAGAGGAGGTACTCAGAGATGAGTAACTTAAACTTGGATTTCTATACCAATTTGGGTTAAAGGAAAAGGAGTTTGGAGCGTCTATGTGGGGGACAAGTACTTTAGGGGAAAAGTAACCAGGAAAAGTATCTCCTTTGATAAGAATGTCAGGGGGTTAAGAGTCATCTCCTGGTACACAGAAGGTGACAGTTCTACAAACAGATAGATTTTCCTTATAAATTTTAATATCCTTTTCTAAAGACAAACATATGTTCTGTCTTCATAGCTTCTTTTATGAATGCTGTTTCTCAAAATTATCAATTCAGTATAATCTGTATGCTGAAAAGACATGATTTGAAGTGGCACAGTCTGGTCTATAGTCATTCAGAAAATTTCAGAGTAATACATATTTGTATATTATCAAGACATTTTTACTAAAATTCCTTTAAAATAATAGAATTCATGAGCGCAGGGTTAAAAAACGAAACCCATGAAACTTTGTAGAAGTCTAATTTATAATGTGGCATTTAGTTATTTGGAGAATTTTGCTATAGTAAAACTTCTAAAATACTTAGTCTTTACCAAAGGGGAAAATTGTGTTAATGACTGTATTCACATTTTAAAAACTTATACATATTCTAATAACAGTTATCTGGTTTGTTTCCATGGCTACATTGGCAAGAAAGAAAAATGTATGTCTGTATTTTTAAGGTTTAAGCTAACAGAGTGCCATGTTGATCTCATTTTCTAGGACGGTTTTCTTTTGTGACGGAGAGGAGTTACTGTTTGTGAGGTCATATACCGTGACTTCACTTTTTTGGTTATTAGGGCTATACTTAAGATTATTTCAGTTTCCTTTAACCTGTTTTTAATGGTTTAAGTGGTTGAATGCTTTTCCAGTTTTCTCTCCTTTTTAATGTCAATTTTGGAAATACAGAGTATTTTGGACATATAGAATAGTATTTGATTTCATTTTACAGTTGCCTCCTTTATTCATGGAGTTTATGTTCTAATGTCCCAGGTGAATACCTGAAACTCCATAGTACCCAACACTATTAATCCTGTGTTCTTTCCTCTGCATATTTCCCTGTGATAAAATTCATTGCCATTTTTTTTAACTAAGCACTGATCTTGCATTCCATCTATGTTTGTAGTGTGTGGTATGACACCAAAATATCATGAGTTTTTTTTTCTTTCATTGTTTCATGGATAGATTCATTCTTGGTGTAGGTCTTAACAGTATTTCACTTAAAGGATTCACTTTATGATTTTTCTTTGTTATATCTGAACTCCAAATGCTACTACTCTTAGGCTTTTGGGCCATTGTTAAGTAAAATATATATTAGCTGAACATAAACTTTTCAACGGAAGTGTCAACCAAGATGCATAAATGACTAATGGATGGGTAGTATGTGCAGTGTGAATACTGAAGGAGTCTAGGGCATTTCATCCCAAATGTGGTACCCTGCCATGCTAATTATTTTAAATTAAAGACCATTGGAGAGCAGCAGATGCTCGAAGAGCCTTTACTGTGATACTATTCAAAGACCAGACCTGTCAAAGAAGAAAATAATTATACAATCTCTTCTGAGTGTTGATTTACTAAATTCTAATGTGCAGAAGGGAAGATTAAAGAATGTAGTCATACCTAGCAGAATTCGTCACAAGCTATTATCCAGCTTGTAGGCCCATTGAGTTCCCAAAGAGGATTACTATACTTACCATTGTCTGAACATGGGGCCCATTCATTTACTTAAAATCATTTACTGCCAGTCTTACTGTCACATTCCCATTTCTCTGTCTCTTATAAAGAAGAGAACATAAATATCCAGACCTCATTAGGTTATTTTAGTAATTGTAATCTTGTGGTTCTTCCCTCTGTATATTTACAAGTTTACGTATCGTTTTTGCTATTACTTATTGTCAGTTTATTCTCGCAAACCTGGAAGCATTTGGAGAGCAAAGGGGACCTTATTTTGCCCCTACAGTATGCTGACAGATAAGATCCACATCCAGGGGTAGGATAGTGAAAAATTTCATCTTGGTACTCAGAATGGCATACAATTTAAAACTTTTTGTTTTGTTTTAAATTACAGATTTCAGAGGTTTTTCATTAATATTTTAAGGCTGTCATTATCTGTGGGTACCTGAAATCACATAAAACTACTCTGCTGCTAATATTGCAGAGTTTATAACTGAATTCTGTTATACTGTCCAGGTAGAGTGAGCATAGATAATCATTGATATTGTTATTTAAAGGAAATTTTTCTTACGTAATTTTAAAATAGGCTAATGATTTTAAAAGATGGATGATCCTTTTTAAGCTAAAGATTACATTTTGTAATTTTCTATACCTTTTTGTTATCAACAATGTTATTTGTACAAAAGTAATTCATTTTAATTCTTGTTTATATTAAATTCAAAAATAGGCCTTTAATATTTTAATGCTTATATTTATTTCAGAAATTAAAAGTCATTTTTATTATTGACTTAAAACACTATTCTATTAAATTTAGACTCTGAGGAGGAATTTTTTGATGCACCATGTAGTCCCCTGGAAGCACCTCCTCAGGTTCCAATTAGAGTTAAAAGTATTCAACAAAGAAAGGTACAAAAGCAAGACTGTCCAGTCAATTTGGCTCAATTCAAAATTCGTTTTGAAGTAGAAGAGGTATGTACCATGTAAAATTATGGTTATTTAAATCGTTTGCCATTTCTGCTGTTTGTATCTTATTTATAGTTTCATTGCTAATAGGCGTTGTTGTTTTCATTCTGATTTAAGGTTGATGCAGACTTTCTGTGATTCACTCTCATCCCATTTCTTGAAGATTAACTTCCTTAATCAAGAATTAGGAGTTTAGGTGATAGGTTGTGCATATTCAATACATATTTTCTGAAAAATGATTATATAAGTATATATGTCAGGGAGTATGAAAATTGCACCTAAATTTTAAATATGTAATGTAGCACATATATATAAATCAATTATATAGCCATAAATATAACCGCCTTGTATGTAAACATGTTTTTGTTTAACATAATGGTAGTTTCTTTTTTCTTATTCTGCAGGTTTTGATTCAGTTTTATCACCTTGAGGGAGATTGTGAACTACCCGTTGTAGAAATTGATGTTTTAAGGTCAGGCATGGAAGTTGAAATTAGAACATTTGATTTGAAGGCAAACGCCTTTTTGAAAGAGTTCTGCTTAAAGTGTCCAGAATTCCTTGGTAAGAATCTCTATTTTTTAAAAAAAAGACAAATTAATTTTATTGTTTTAGAAGCCAACACTTCAAGCTCCAGTCGCTCTATGACTCTGGCCTCTGATAAGGACTTCTTGCTGGATGGCATCATGGCAGGAGAATGTGTAGAAGAGATGACATGGTGAGACAGGATTCCAGAGAGTGATGGCAGGTGTCACACTTACTCCTTCATAACTACTCCTTCTTGTGGGAACTAACTATCCCCCAAGGGCAGTGTCCTCAGTGACCTAATTATCTTCCACTACACTCCACCTCTTAAAGGTTCTATCACCACACTGAGGACTAAGTTTCCAACACAAGAACCCTTATGAGAAACAACATCTAAACCATAGCTGAGTTAGTTTTAAACTTTTATCTTATACTTGGTTCTCTGGGAGACAGGGAATGGTAGACCAGAGAAAAAATGAAGATCGCTTTTTTCATTAAGTAAAATTCATTAGGATTAAATTTTAAATCTACACTGAATATAGGAACACTACATTAATTTCCTATTACTGCTATAACAGTCTACCACAAATTTAGTTTCTCAACATAAACTATTATCTTACAGTTTGTAGAGAAAAAGGCTGACAGAGGTCTTGCTGGGACAAAATCAAGGTGTCAGCAAGAGATCCTTTATGTACACTCTAGAGGATCTGTTTCCTTTTTCATTCAGGCATGGATTAAATTCAGTTGCATGTGGCTTAAGTATGTTTCCTTGCTGCCTGTTAATTCTGTCGTTAATTTGTAGCATTCTCTATCGGTCTTTGCATAGTAGCTCGCTACATCTCAGAAGCATTGTGATGTGTTAGACCATCATATTGCCATTTCTATCCTCCTTTACCTATTACTTCCACTCTTTAAAAGGCAGGTAATTGGATCGGATACAGTGGATAATCCAGGATAATCTCCATTTGACTGTAATTGCTTCTTCACTGCATTTTGCTATATGAAGCAACATATTCTCAGATTTTGGAGGATCAGAGTATAGACTTTATGCAGGGACAGTATTCTTCCTACTACAAACCCTTTATTTTCCAGTGTTACAGTGTATATACCTAAGAAAATATTTCTGTGTTAAGCATTTAAGTGGGTGCTGTTTATATTTCTCTACTAAATTTAAATATTTTTTTGCTTGAAAAATGATGACAAATGGTAAAGGGAATTTTACAGACAGTTATTCAGTAGTTTCATTAAACTTCTTTGGTATATAGCAATATTATGTATAAGTAGAGATAACATTAAGTATTTTTAGTAGTCTTTATGTTTTAGAGCAGTTTCAGATCCATGGGACAATTGAATAAATGGTACAGAGATTTCCCTTAAACCACTTACACCTACACATGCATAGCCTTCCCCTGTTGTTAGCATGACCCACCAGAGTAGTGTATTTGTTACAGTTGATGAACCTTCATTGACACATCATCCTTACCCCAACTCCATAGTTTAAATTAGGGTTCACGCTTTGTGTTATATATTTTATCTGTTTGGACGAAAGTATAATGACAAGTATTCACACTTATACAGAGTAGTTTCGTTATGCTAAAAATCTTCTGCTTCACCCATTCATTACTTTCTCGCTTAGACCCTTGACAGTCACTAATCTTGTTTTTTTTCCATTAAGTTTATTGGTACATTTTAGGGATAAAATACAGTTATCTTCATCATTGGGATCTTGTACCTTTACATGATGTTTCTTGGTTCTTATTTTTCCCCTTCCCCTGCCCTCCCTTCAGCCCCTCCACCCTTCCTTAGTGGCAAAGACTTTGTTTCCATTTTTTTTTCCTTTTCTCATACTTTTTCTTTTCCCTTCTTTCCTTTCCCCTATCCCTCCCACTTCTCCTGCTCCTTTAGACCTTTTCTTCCTGTTACACAATATCAGTTATATATTGTTTTAATTACAATATCAAAATTTAGAGGACATTATCACAGATTTTATGGAATTTCAAAGGAGAAAGCATATTACAAAAATTTTTTTTTTTCTCATATTTTTTCTTTTCCCTTCTTTCCTTT